TCTTCCGGTCGAGGGCTCAAGATTCCGGCTGGTTTCACTTTTATTGGTTTGTCTTTCTCTGCCCTTTCCCCCGCCATCTTTATGGATTGTTTACTTTTATGAAAACTTGCAAAAGTCTCTGAAATACGCCCACACGCTTATCCGCACTCTGGTAAGTCTCTCAAAACAGATTTCAACACTTTTTCTTCCGCTCTCCCCTTTGTATTTCGTTGTTTAGTTCATGCGTATGGGAGGGGCCCCTCCCCCGCTCGCTTTTTTTGCTGTTCCCGGGGGGTAGCTTTCTTTTTAAATTCTCGTTTCGCTTTAACCCGACTCACAGTTCATTGTTGGTCATACGACCTTGCTCGGCATACGTTCAAAACGCTCGATCTCCGACGCTTGTCCCAGTCAGCAGCTCTAGATCCATACGAACACTCAGCAGCAGGACCGTTGGGGCAGAGGAGCGCCTCAATTCCCCAGCATCACGCTGGCAAAGAGGCCACCCCTCAAAAGCGCCATGGCTAGGAGCCTTTTGCCAAGGCTCTGGGGGGGGGGGAGCGACCCGTCGCCCCCCCTCCTTTCTGCTGGTGGGCAGATCACATCCCCATGAGGTCCGGGAGATGCGTCCACCAGCGTGTTGCCATAAACTGTAAGCCCCGGAGCAAGAGTTCCTTTTGAAGTGTGGACTGATCATAAAAACTTGGAAGTGCTCCGAATGCCGCACAGGCTTAATGCCAAACAGGTGCGATGGGCTGAATTTTTCTCCAAGTTCCGGTTCATCATTAAGTATCTGCCCGGGAAATCTAATTTCTTAGTTGATGCACTCTCCCGTCTGCTGCAACACGCAAGCCAACAAGATGAGGTCACTGACACAGTATTCTCTCCTGCCCAGCTAGGGGCGGCGGTGACGACTCATAGCAAAACAAAAGCTGAACAGGAGACCAACAGTAAAGGGAAGGAGGGGGCTAAGGTAGAGGATAAGGATTGGATTGAAACTTTTAAAGCAGCCTTCTCCCCCTCCAATCTGGACATAGTAATTGCAGAAGGATTGCAACATCAAGAGAACGGACTGTGGAGCAAGGGAGAAAGGATTTATGTGCCCATCTTTTTACGGGGGATATTATGTCCCAAAGCCACTGCAGTAAAATGGCTGGACATTTCGGATATTTAAAAACCCTGCATCTATTGCAGCACCAGTTTTGGTGGCCAGGGTTGAGAAAAGACATTTCTAAATATATAGGTACCTGCCAAACGTGCATAACGTGCAAACGGGGGGGGGGGGAAGGTACCGGGGCACATCCAATCTCTGGAAACTCCTGAAAGACCCTGGGCAGTGATCTCAATGGACTTCATCATGGATCTCCCTGAAAGTTGTGGAAAAACCGTGATTTGGGTGGTGGTTGATTTATTCTTTAAGCAGGCTCACTTCATTGCATGTAAAAATGTCCACACCACTAAGCAATTGGCTGGACTGTTTCTTCAACATGTCCTGAGATTACATCCCCCCCCCCCCCCCCACGAAAGGGAATTTCAGATCACAGAACTCAGTTCATTTCCAAATTTTGGAAGAAATTAATGACCCTCTTGGGGGTTGAGCGAGGAGTAAGTAGTAGCTATCACCCAGAGACGGGTGGACAAACCACGCACACTAATCAGGTCCTTGAACAAGTATTGCGGTGTTATGTTAATTATCAACAAACTGACTGGGTGTCCCTCCTGCCTTTTGCGGAATATTGCTACAATAACTCCCTTCACAGCACCATAGGCATGAGCCCATTTATGGCAGTACATGGGTACGAAGGGGGGCCCTTACCCATGGTAGATCTCAATGAACTGGTACAAAGTGATACCCAACTGTAACAAAAAACTGGGATGTTTTGAAAGCAACCCTTGAGAAAGCAAAGAGGGACTATAAATGCTTTGCCAATGGGAAACGCAGCCCCGAATGGAATCTGAGTCCAGGGGACTCTGTATATGTCTCCATGAAACATATTAAAGTGTTACAACCCTGGAGGAAACTGGGGTGGAAATACGTTTGGCCCTTTAAAGCGAGTGATAAACAAAGTAGCTGTTGAATTGAACCTCCCTAAATCACTGTGTTGTTTGCATCCTGTGTTTCACTTTAGCATCCTGAAGCGTGATCTTGGGCCATCATCTTGGGCACCTCGTCCTCCAGTTCCTCCGCCTCTCTGGACCAATGGGGAACCCCACCACATGGTTCAGGAAGTTCTTGATTCCCATTTGAGAAGGGGCCAATTACAGTATTTGATTAAATGGAAGGACTTTGGGCCAGAGGAGAATGAATGGGTTGCTGCCAGACATGTCAACACTCCTAAGCTGCTCCAACGGTTTAACCGTGTCTTCCCTGGGAAGCCCGGGGAGGGTGAGCTTGGGGGGGCAGTCTGTCAGATTTGGCCTGGTTTATGGCTTTCCTGATCAACATATTGTTTTATGGCCTTCATCTGTTCCTCTGCTTATCGATGCCCTCGCTGCCATGTCATTCCTGCGGGGAGGGGGAAGGTGTGAATGCCTGGATGCGTGAATGGGGGAGTAGACTAGCTGCTTTCTTTGTAACTTCTTTTCCCGTAACAAGTGCGCCTCAGGGAACGGCTCTAACAGCAGGACATCCTTGAAGATAACATTTTCACATGGCTAGCTTCCCTCCTGCTTGGGTCTGCAGGTGGGGGAGAGATCGAAAGCTGCAGTCAGAGGGGCAGATAAAGATAGGCTGATGGTTGGCTGGAAAGGAGACAAGGTTGCCAACTCCAGGTTGAGAAATTCCTGGATATTTGAGGGGTGGAGTCTGGAGAGGGTGGGGTTTGAGGAGGGGTGGGAACTCAGACAGGTACAATGCCATAGAGTCCACCTTGCAAAGCAGCCATTTCCTTTGTTGCCAATCTCCAGGTGAGGGCTGGAGATCACTCAGAATTACAACTGCTCTTCAGATGGCAGAGATCAGTTCCCCTGGAGAAAATGGTTGACTCTGTGTCATTATACCCTGCTGAGGTCACCACAGCAAATTGACGCTGAGTGCCCAAAGCCAGGGCACTCGCCCAGATCATCTTTCTAGAGCTCATTGTATTTATTTCCACAACGGGCCTTATTCCTAGTAATAATAATAACATCGATACAAAAAAACCAGAATGCACCTCAAACCTTAATTAAACTAAAGCAGAATTTGAAAACACCCAATAGTATATCGCTATAAAAATGTATCAATTATACAGCTAAACTTTGATGAATGTACTCAGAGAATTGTGCAGATTTTTGTTGACCACTATTCAGTTGATAAATGATTCAGAACATGCTCACGACAGTGTATGTTTATCTAAGTGCATACTAATCCCATGCTGAAATATGATTACCCTTTGGATACGCTCTAGTTGTTCCCTGCCTTCCTGTCTCTAATAAAGTGTTTCACTTTCCAGCCTTTCAATAAGTTGTACTAAAGGGACTAGACACTTTTTGGGGCAGTCTCTGTTTGATAAATGATCATGTCATGCTATCACTTAGAGGTCTGCTACAAAATACTAAAAAGCAAATTATATTCTAGGCACACCATGTGTTTTGTGTGTGTGCGTGTGTATGAGAAAGCCTCAAATGACATCCACAGTACTGGCTGCAGCCTTCTTCCCAATTAATGATGACCATTTAAGAACCCGTATTTGACCAATGTACTCCAATTTTTATCGGCTGTGTCTAGCTCAAGTGCCCTAACTACATCTGTAGACAGCAATTTGTCATCATTCTGACAGTCTGCCATTATCTATTTCAGAAAATCTATATTTTTTTCCTCTTGTTCCTGACTGAATTGTGAAGTAAAGGAATTCATCTTTTTGATATCTTGTTGTCATAATCAATAATGGCCAAAGGTTGAATAAATTAAAGATTTATAACCATCTCCTCATAACACTGAACCAGCATAAGCTATTTCAGAACAAACAAGCTGCTATATTTATGTTAGAGTGACAGCGTTACAGCCTGCACTTACAGGCATAACCAAGAGCTTTGCACATGCAGGGGCCGTTCACAGGCATTTCTCACTGGGTGAACATAATGTTTCCCTTATAAAAGAAAATGAGACACTTTGGGATATTATATCCCTGTGGAGACTCTCAACCTAAAAAGAACATTAGGCCAAATTCAAATCTAGCAGGAATATTTGCACTTTTTGTAAATCCCAAGTCAGAAGAGTTAAAAAAAATGGCAATGGCTTCAACACAGTCATGAATGGAGTGAGGTAGCCTAAGGTATCTTTGGCACCTTCCCCTTCCCTCTGCAGCCCTTTGAGCCCCTTCCCCAAAAGCTGCTTCCAAGGGTTGAAAGATCCTGGGAACTACATGGGATATGGTGCAGGGAGCTGCAGTAGTGAGGGGAGATCCATGGAAACAATCCTCCCATTCCTTAGTAAGTGCATTAGGAACCCCACAAACAGAGCAAAAGTTCATGCGTGATTTCTGTTGATTCTTCCCATTGCAGCTCCTCTCCCCCATGTCACATTCATATCTAATTTTTTCCTGGTTACAATTTTAGGAACTTGATCATGTACATGTAACTTTAAAGAAAAATCCCATTTACTTCAGTGGAACCTACTGGCGAATCCAAAGGATGTGCAAGGTTCTTGGCTTCAGTCTTACCTCCTTGTCCTTGTGACCGGTGCTGTAAACCATACAGTGCTAATCATGCTTGGTGGTTTGCACACCACAGAAGAGCAATACTGGTACATCCTAGGATGTTGGATATGGGAATTTCCCCTCCCACAGCAATCTTAAGAGCACAGAAATTTATTTACATGCACATAAAGACTGCTTTTTAAAAAATATACAAAGTAAAATATAAAATCATCTTTCAGTGTGCTTATTTTCTATACTCTCTTTGAAACTTTACAAAATTGTAACAAACAATTTAGATTACCACAATATGAAAAGGGAAGAAACCTTCTGACATTAAAACATCTTTACCTTATCAATCATCTTATTTTCTTTTACGCTAATAATCAATCCCCATTTCCTTTCTATTACCTTCACGCGGTGAAGTTGGTTGTCCACAGCTATGAGATGGGAGAGGTTTTCCAAAACTGCTAATTCACTTAGTTCATCAATGTTATTATTGCTGATATTCAAAACAGATAAAGACTTCTGAAATGAAACAAACAAAACATTTTAAAAGAAAAACATTTTTGACTGTTTTGAAAACTCAGATTTATCAGCTCATTTTGAAACACTTTGAAACGGACAATTAACAATTTAGAAAACTATCTCATAATAAATCAGATTCAAATGTTTTATTGCATTAGCTCAGAAGCTATAGCAAATAATACAATTCCAATATAGACACACCTAAATAATAAATTTCCAAATATTAAAATACTATATTGTAACATTTTAAAATATCAACTTAAAACCCAGCCAATAACAAACCGCAAAATTAATAGAAATTATCTATCAACTAATTATAAATATTGAATATCTAATATCCCATGTTGACCCTGATGCTGGGAAAGATTGAAGGTCAAAGAAGACGGGGACGGCAAAGGATGAGATGGTTAGACAGTGTCATCGATGCAACTAACATGAAATTGAGCCAACTTCAGAGGATGGCGGAAGACAGGAGGGCCTGGCGGGAGCTGGTCCATGGGGTCGCGAGGAGTCGGACTCGACTGTGCTACTGAGCAACAACAACAACAAATTTCCCATGTAAAATATCAAATGACCCAGAGTGGTACCATTGATCTAATAATCAACCATATTTTGGAATTTTGGGGGGCCTTTTTATTCATAACAAATGCACTTAACCTTACCATTTAAAAAGTAACAGAATTGTCTTTGCCAACAGTGATACTAGTTTAGTCTGATGTGACCCTCCATAAAATCAAGGTAAAATGGACCCGAGGGGTTTTTCATGTTCTTTATAGTTATAGCAGTTATAGTGAACTGTTTGCTTCTGGGCCTAATTCTAAGTGCTGGGTATCACCTCTGAAGCCCTTCACAGCCTAGGGCTCTCACAGCTATAGAACATGTATCTCCAAATATACTCCAATGCAGCACTTACTTTCTTCAGAAAGCCTTCTTCTTGTGGCACCCTTTCAGGATTGTCCATACAGCAACAACTAGATCACAGCTTTCCTCAGTGGTAGATCCAGTCTACTGGAATTGCCTACCAGGGTGAGTGCGGAGGGCAACTTCATTGGCTGCATTAAGGTAGGCATGCAAGATGATTTTATTTCAGAGGGCACTTTGTGGATGGCAAACTGCTTAGACAGATTTGGCTGTGGGTTTTTATTTGCATCTTAAAAAAAAAATCTATGCCGCTGTTTCTAAATCTGTGCATGTGTTTTTAATTTATACTGGTTTTAATTTTTGTTTTTACTTTGTTCATTTGTTTTTATATTAACTTATAGGGGGGGGTTATTTGTACATCATTGTTACCTGTCTGCAGTCTAAGGAGAAAAAGTTAAAGAGAAGAAAAACGAATGACCACTAATTACTAATGTGTTAAAGGGAGGGGCTAATGCATGCAGCTGTTGTTCAACACTATTGAAAATAAGAATTGACAAGTCAAGCTTTTACAAAAATGATAACAGGATCCAAACAACTGGTACTACCTGCCCAAAGTTTTGGGCATTTCTTAAGTAACAATCCATATATCCAACAATGGCCTGACCTGGATAACCCAGGCTAAGACTGATCTTGTCAAGTCTCAGAAGCTAAGCAGGGTTGACCCTGGCAAGTGTTTGGATGGGAAACCTCCAAAGAGTACCAGGGTCATGACGTGGAGGCAAGCAATGGCAAATCACCTTTGCACGTCTCTTGCTTTGAAAACTCTATGAGGTCACCAGAAGTCAGTTATGCCTTCGCAACAAAAATCCATATTACCCCAGCAAACTGAATTTGACAGCTCTTTCAAAAGCATTTTGGCATGTGGGTGTTTTGTTTGAAGTGTGCATGTGTGTAGACAAAAGCACTGCTGGATACATTTCCTTAAGAGGTACCTGAGACATAGTCTATGTCTTTTCTACAGCTTCATAAATAAATCTACAAAAGTTACTAGCCCACAAAAAGTGTATTAGCCTGCCTCTCTCCATACATACCTGAGGCAATTTGTTGTGGCACATTACTAGACTGGATTAGAAAAAGAACCTAATATTTTATCATTTACAACATGGGCCCTCCATGGTGCCTGCTGACACCTCTCCTGGCACCTACCAAATGCTTTTAGAAAGTGGATGGGGCCAAATGGAGCCTTTGCCCAGGAGGGCTTCTTATTGGCCACAGGAGATGATTGGCTGTGCATATTTATAAAAATGTTGCTTTGGGAGTAGCTGCCACCACAGCACAAGGATCATCACTGAGAGAGCAATCCTAAACAAGCCTACTCACAATTCTACACTAGTCTATTCAATGGGGCATACTCCCCAGAAAGTGTTCTTAGGGTAGCACTTTGAAGGCAGGATGCAAGTACATGCCACAAAGTATTTTTAAAAGCATGTTTATTTTAAAAGGTATTATTTTAAAAAACAGAGCTTCTGCCTGAAATGTTGAAGGGTTACTATTAGAGCTATACATAACCTCACTCTGTGGCATTTTGTGGTTGGCCCCGCATCCTGCAGATGTCATTTTGTGGCTGTGCCCACCACCCTGTATCAGAATTCCAAAAGGGCTTTGCAAACCCCAAAAGGCGAGGACCTCTGCTTTACAACATCTGCCCTTGCTTGGTCACATGGACAAAAATTCTTACTACAGGCAACAAAGCAAGTGGCTACTTACAAGCTTGCTTTATTCATTCTTGTTTCTCCGGACACACTTTACAACAACACCCCCTCCCCTAAGTCCACAGAAAAATTGAAAAATGTGTAATCAGGAGAGAGAAAAGGAAAACTGAGCAGTTTTGCGAGATGACGTTAAGGCAATTTGGGACAGACTTCACAGAAGCTCTGGGACTTAAGGGGGGGGGGGCTGTGGCTCCATGACTGGACATCTACTTGGCATACAGACAGTTCTAGGTTCAATTCCTGGTATCTCCCAGCAGGTGACATAAAATATCTCTACCTAAGACTCTGGAGAGCCACTGCCAGTCTGAGTAGACAATACTACCTTGATGGACCAGTGGTCTGATTCAGTAAAAGGCAGCTTCATGTGACTTCCACTTTGGTAATGATTTTATTTTTAAAAACTCATATGTCTTTTAGTTCCAAGGGGCTTTTAAGGCGCCTTATAATGCATAAAAACACAAACAATTGTAAAAAATTACTTGCTCAAATGAGTGCCACATAGAAAAAAATTATATTCAGAAATCTATACTTTCCCCCTTCATCATTTATTTCTTTTGAACACATTAAGTAAAACTGGGCTTTGATTTCAAATTAAGCATACTTACTTAGAAGCATGACCTACTGAGATTAGTGTCATTTACTTCCAAGTAAACATGCTAGTATCATATTTGCCAACTGTATTATGGCTATAATACTAAGAATACTTTATTGGGAGTAAGCCCTATGGAATAAAATGGGACTTACATCAAAGGAGACCAGTATAGGATTGCTCACTATATTACCTGATGGGAAATAAATGCAAAATAAAAAGTCATCAGAAGTTGCTGTAAAGCAAAATTAAAGTTTTCCAGAACATTATGATTGGTCACTCCACATTTTAAAAATGTTTTTAATGTTGAGTAAGAAATATCAGCCTGGTGCAGTCTGTAAGTCCTGTGGGAAAAGAGCTCTGACAAACGGAAGTAAAGTGTCAGTGAGCTGGCACAATAACTCCCACTGCAATCAACATCCATCACCAAATGTCATTTAAACTCTACATTCTTACTGCTAGTGAATGAAGACTTCTTGGGTCAAACAAGAGCTTTTCTCCTAGGGGAAGCTGCTGGCTTTCAACATGTAATTCTCTCAGTTCTTCTAAATTCTCTAAGCCTTCCACTACAGTGACGTAATTGCCACCCAGATACCTTAAGAGAACAATAGAAAAGTGTCTTTTTATGATTTGTTTTAAAAAATGCACTCTTACATTTCTGAAACAAAAAAAGCTTATTTTGTTAACTTAATACCAAACAAACCATTATACTATCACCCCAACATTCAGCAGAAGTCAGTTCCACTGAAGCTAACAAAGCTTACACTGTGAAGGGCCAAACTACATGTGATGCTGGGGATCCATATCTGGACCTTGCACATATAATTTAGCCACACACACACACAACCAGATGCAAGGGCCTTGATGTGGAAGGGGGAGTTTCCCCCTCTGTGCTGCTTCTCAACCCATCAAAAAGGCCCCACCTATATCCAGGCTGCTTTTAGTGCTAGTGGAGACCTGTCCTGGTCCTGCCTTTTTACAGGTAACGGTTAAACTCTTATCTCCTCACACTGCACCTGCCATCTGTGTCTGGACCCTCTGCAGATAGCTTTTTGAAACTAAATTACACATCAGGGGAATTGACTATTTTGTGCAGTTTGATCCTAAGCAAATGTGTAGAATTGGGAAGGGGCAGCCAAAACTGCGAATCTTTTAAGGCACATAATAGACTGGATAGTCTATATAATTAATTAATGTATGCATAAAACCTAATACTAAAATGCAGAAAAACACACACATTCTAATTACTATTAACTGTCAAATTAGGACACAGTGTAGTCAGTATTGATCAGACTCACTGATTTCAATGGCAGAGAGTCACATACATATCTAATTGGTCCATCTAATCGACAGGACTTAGATGTGTTGGATTTTAACTTGCTTTCCCCATGGATTTAAAGAAAGAACACACAAAAAAATTCCTGTATAACTAGTTCAACATCTTTTCATTTTTGAAACATATTGAGCACAATTAATTTATTCTTGTATTTCTTAGGCAAATTTGTAAATACAACTGAGAAAAATAATGATTTTTCACTTACAATTTTTCAAGTTTTATTAATGATGCTAGATTTTCCATTCGTGTAATGCAATTGTTTTGCAGGTACAGGTGTCTTAGGTTTGTAGCAAAGTCCAAGTTATGTACCTGTCTTATTTGGTTATCATACAAGTAAAGGACATTAAGGTTTTTACACAAAGATAGGTCATCCTAAGAGAAAGAAGGAAAGTGTTACTCTATAAAGTTCATTCTTGAGTATCTGCTTGTGCATTCTAATTTTTCAGGGTGTGGATTTTTTTTCACCGTTACATGCCCTATTATACTTCCACAAACACGAACAAGCTATCCCAAACCCAAGTACTTGTAGCTTGTCATCTTTGGCAAACATGTTTTAACAGCAGTCCAGCGCATGAATATTATCTTTATTTACCATGGCTGAGATCCAGAGAAACATGCAACTAGTTTTACATGCCCAAGGGGACTTTTGAGTTTGTGTTTCTTGAGTAGCAGCTGCCACATCATACAGCAAACTCTTTGAAACTGAGGAAACTTTCCAAAGCCCTTTGGACTATGGTATGGTAGTCTGCTGTTCAGAGAAAAACAGCCAAAAAATCTCTTGGGCATGCTGATATTTTTCAGCTTACGGTTATATTAGAGTTGTAGATTATCCCAGAAAATAGGGTTGTGACCAAGTATACATTTTTTTGCAAATTTCAAGCACATTTCTGAAAAACCTCTGTTCGTTATTATTGTACAACACATACTGAAAAACATGTATTTGTTTCCAAAATTCCAATTCTTTGCAAACAAGAAGTGCATTTATTGAACTGTATGCTATCTCATGGAAAAGTGCTCAAAAACTATTTTCAAGCTAATTATTGTAACAGTATGAAATACATCAAAGTTCCAAGATCCCTCCCATAATTATTTTGCTAACAACACAAAAATAAAATTAAGTACTGGTTAATTTGTTGAAGTAGAAATGTAGTTACAAATAAAAGAGTCTTACAATGATATCTATATTTTTATTAGATAGCTTGAGATGCGTTATTTTCCTCAGGTGCTGGGCCAGGGATTCATCTCTGCGATTCTTTTGACTGAGGCTTTTAGCAATGAGCTCCAATGTTAAGCGAACCATTGTTTTGCAATAAATCCTGTTCTCGAAGTTGATACAAAGTATCTTTGTCACACAGAGCCTTTAAAAAAAGGTAATATTATCATACTCTTTTTCTGCAACATTCTCATTTCTACAAAACATTCCAACTGTAATAGGATTTTTCTCATATATATGCTAACATTTTTTCTAATTTTCTAGGAATATAGGCAGTAATATTTGTCGCCCCAGTTTTGCTTATACATTATTACACGAATAACTCAAACCTTACTAGATTTACTGAATGTACGAATGTACAAAAATCTTATCGGCTCAATGGCAAAATCAACAACTGCCCATACATAGGCTTCCTCCGTTGTGGCCCCCACCTTCTGGAACGGCCTGCCTGAGGAGGTCAGGAAGGCTCCCACTCTCATGGCTTTCCTCAAACTATGCAAAACTGAATTATTAAAGAGCGCTTTTCTACATAGGCTCTGCTGCAAAATAAATCCCATTCAGTGGGACTTACTTTAGGTTAAATATAGTTGGAACTAAACTGCCAATTACATTTCAGTGAAAATACTGCAAAACTAGGACACATTAGCTCTGCTAACATATTACTGTGAACACATGCATAGCCCATTGATAACAAAGAGCAAATGTACATTAACTTTGGCCCCGGGCATACGGGCCGGCTGAAACGCGGCTACTCCAAGCCGCTCCAAACTTGCTACGCCGCGGCGGGATCCCATGGATCCCCTAGCCGCGGCGCAGCACTCCCCGGCACGCTCAGATGCCGGGGAGGAAAAGTCCGAGGGGAGGGGGGAGGCTGCCGAACTGCGCATGCTCGGGCATGCGCAGTACGGCCGGGGGCCGGGATGCGGCGGCGCAAGGACGTGCCCCCGATCCCACAGCCCGGCCTGAGCCGCGGCAATGGATGCAACCACCTAGAGAGGTGGTTGTTTTTTGCGGCGCGGTATGGGCCATTGGAACGGATCGGGGACGGAGACGGCACGCTCGCCAGATGTTGAGGTGAGATCGCGCCTGTTTGCTCCGCCCCGGTTCCGTCCCGCTCCCGGCCCAAATGGGCTCGTATGGACGGGGCCAACTGTTGGATCCCCAAGCATCGAGAATAAATCCACGTTTTCAAGAAAAGCAAAATTTATTTCAAAGCGTTGAAGACATACTCAAACACGTTCTTTGTTAGAACTGGGGATACACAGTTAGGTCAAGCA